ACCAACATGAAACCAACCCGTGAGATGCACAACTGAATCTATCTGGCAACTGCCCATCATAAAGGAGCAGTAAGACAACTGGATCAAATGAGACGAACCAATCAAACATGGATAGGACAACAACCGATTAAACACAAACTTCAAGATGAAGCTATCTATGTATCCCAAAGATAGGAATCATGCCTCATGTAGTTCCGGTTAAGGTTCACTCGAGTATTAACACTCTCATTTTGTGCTCTAACTTTTTGCCAAAGTCGCCTTATGGTTTTCGACCTTGTGCGTTTTTTTATTTTTCATTTTTATGCTCTAATTTTTGCCTGGGCTGCCTTTTTGGATTTTTGACCCAGTGAGCCTTTCAAGGATAGTACTTTTTTAGCTTGTCTATGTTGAGTGGTTGCGAAAACTCCAAACCATCCAAATCCATGAGAATGACTGCTCTCCTGACCAGATTGACTTGATGATGTACGGACCCATCTAATTGGGTCTAAACTTGCCCCTAGGGTCGTGGATAGGAGCTTGGTTGCCCTTCAGCACTAAGTCCCCTTCCCTCAAATTCCTAGATCTGATCTTTTTGTTGAATGCTTTGGAAATCTTGCGTTGATAACCCTGAACATGGTATAATGCCTTCAATCTTCGCTCATCAAACAATATCAGCTTCTCAAATCAGTTTTGTTTCCAATCAGCTTTTGCTATCTAACATTCAGCTATAATCCTCAACGAAGGCACTTCTATCTCAATCGGCAAAACATCTCTATTCCATATACCAAAGAGTATGTAGTTGTCCCTGTAGACGTTTGGATTGATGTCCAGTATTCCTAAAGTGAATAAGCTAGTTTATCTGGCCAATCTCTGTAGGTTTCCACTGTCTTACGTAGAATGGTCTTGATGTTCTTATTTGCAGCTTCAATGGCTCCATTGGTTTGTGGCCTGTAAGTTGATGATGTGTGAACAATCATGTTATATTTCTTAAGTAGAACTGCCTTTTCTCCTCTGAAATATGAGCCATTATTTAAAATTACTTTGTTTGGCACCCCATATCTACAAATAATGTTATTCATGATGAATTTGGCCACGTGTGATGCTTTCAGCACAAAAAATGACTATGCTTCAACCCACTTGGTAAAATAGTCAATGGCAACCAAGATAAACTGATACCTATTTGAACCGTTCGGTGTGACTGTCCCAATGACATCTATGCCCCAGACTGAGAAAGGCTAAGGCAAAGTCATGTTGTAGAGTTTTTTTTACGGCAGGATATTCATGCGATTGGCGCGGATTTGACATGTGTGGCATCTTCTAACAAAGTCAATACAATCACTCTCCATGGTTAACCAGTAGTATCCCTGTCTAAGGTTCTTTCTAGCCAACATTATACCGTTCATACGGGCTCCACACTATCCTCCATGGATGGCTTCCATGATACGCTTTGCCTCTTATTTCTCTATACATAGCTTATGCATTCCTAGATGTCCCCTTCCGTACAGCTTATCTCCGCAAATGATGAATTGAGCAGCCAGATGTCGTATCCTCCTCTTGTCCTTGGCATTTGCCCCTTACGGGTATATACTACTTTCCAAAAAGTTCTAAATATCAAAGTACTAGGGGTTTTCATCTTGAACCTCTTCTGTTGCAGTTACCATTTCATATGCGGACGTATATCTTTGTTCTATCAAGATTAGGCGCATCTTAACCCCAAATGGTATATCTATCATGGGGGCCAGGGTTACCAACACATTAGTAAATCGGTTGTTCTCTCTCACTAGGTGTGTAAATGTCAATCTTTCGAACCTCAGGATCAACATGTCCAAAGTCTGATAATAGACTTTCATTTTCTCCTCCTTAACCTTTCAGTCTCCATTGGCTTGAGAGACGACCAAGTTCGAATCCCCAATCACATCCAACCTTATTGCCCTTAGTTCTAGAGCTACTTCCAGTCCGACAATGCATGCCTCATACTTTGCTTGGTTATTGGATACTTTGAATCAGAGTTTGAAAGCTAAAGGGATATGGGAATCATCTGGCGCTATGAGCAACACACTTATCCGTAGCCAAATTGATTGGATGCTTCACCAAATTACAACTTCCAAGTGTCTTATTCCATCTGTATGACCTCCTCATCTGGGAATGAATAATCCATATCTTCTTCTCCTTCAATCGGTGGGTCAACCAAAAATTTTTCCATAGCTCTTTCTTTAACAAATTTGTGAGCGACGTACTTGATATCGAATTCAAAAAGCAAAAGCAACCAATGAGGTAGCCTACTGGTGAGTGCTGGTTTCTCAAAGAGATATTTGATGGGGTCTAACCTTGAAACCAGAATTACTGAGTAAGCTAACAAGTAGTGTCTCAACTTCCTAGTAGCCTAAACCAAAGCTAGGCAAGCCTTTTCCAAGAGAATGTAGCGGGTCAAGTTGTAGATAACTTTCTCCATTTTCTCGTCTAACTCTTGCGCAAGCATACAACCCATGGTTGATTTAGTCACTGATAAATACAAAATCAATAGTTTTCCTAGCTCAGGTGGTGATAACACAGGCGGATTCTACAAATACTGCTTAACTTGCTCGAAGGCAAATTGTGTTTATGTGTTAATATGTGCCACGCATGATTTGAAGTGTGTTATTGTTAACAGATGTGTATAGGATAAGAATTGAACCTGTCTGAACCAGTAATTTATACAAGGGTAAAATTAAATATTTAGATAGGTAATTGGAGTCTAATTCATATTTGTATAATTAAATTTAGTTTAATTTAAATTAGATTATGATGAGAATTGTTTAATTTACGTGAATTTGATGTAATTAAAGTCAATGTAATTTATTAATTTAAACTTATAACTAATTGAGGTTTAGGAAAAATTAGTAAATTGATTATACTACCTAAGCCTATTCATCAACTAAATACGAAAAAGAGAAGTTGGTGGGTTTTGTTAGGAGAATATACAACTTGTGTGTGTGTGTGTGTAAGAGAGAGAGAGAGAGAGAGAGAGAGCTCAAGAAAAGGAAGAAAGAAGAACAAGGAAGAAGTAAGGCTAATATTCTAATTCATCAACTCAAGGTAGGAATTCTCTTCTAATTTCATGAATTTGACTTGTTTCACTCATAAGTTCATGGAATCTAAGTTTAATTACCAAGAATTCAAGCTTAATTGGTAGTTTTATGGAGTAATTTGAAGTTGAATATATATATATATATATGAACAAGATAAGGAAGAAATTGTAAGAATTAGTTCAAGAACATTACATGCATGGCATAATTTCATAAAAATTCGTGTTCACATAATTGATTTCTTGCATGGGTCATAAGAATTAAGGAGGAAACTTCATGAATCTAGAAGTTGGAACCCAAATATACACGTTATATGATTTTACAAGCGATTGGAAGAATTGAATAAATTAACTCACAAATTTACCATGCATGGAATTAATTCATGAGATTCATGTTCAAACACTTGTTTTCTTGCATGGTTTCTATGGCTTCTAAGGATTTTAAAGGAATTTTCTCATGGATTTTAAAGTTGAAGCTTCTAACTATATGTTTTATATTTTTACAATTTAATTGAAGTTTTGAGCTTTCAATTAATAAATTTGGTTTGTTTTTGAAGTTGCAATTTGGTTTGAAGTTGGAAATTCATGTCCATGTTTTTATATTTTCTTACATGGATTATAGGTTTTCTAAAGAATTTTCCATGAAAGATGAATTTGGAACTTTCAACCATGTGTTTTATGGTTTTAGCTTGTAACTCAAGAAATTTATATTATAATTAAAATTTTGAGTTTTGTTTCAAGGTTAATGTTAAATTCAAGTTGTTTTTAACAGTTTTGGGCCTTGAAAGGTATGAAATTGAAGTTGGTTTTGCAAAAGAGTGAGTTCCAATTCAAAGACAATTTTTGAATTTGAGGAAACCCAGGGCTGTAGGTGTGGCTAGGAGCCCTGTACGTGCAGAAAATAGAACACACCAAGGCTCCAACACTATTTTAATTGCAAGTGTGGAGCTCACGTGCGGCCTGGCCTTCCGCACGTGTGGCTTTTAGGATGATTTTCAGTTTCATTTTCTCTTCGTTTTTGCGATGTTTGGGCCTTCATTTGCATGGTTTTAACACGTGTTTTAAACTCATATGCATATCACGATCACAGAGGAAATTAAAGAACAAATAGGAGTGACTTAACGAATTTGTAACAAATGAACCGAATAGGTTTAAGAACCAACTGGATGAATCGAAGGTTTAAGAACCGACTAAATGAATTGAATGTGCCTTGGGACATTGTGCTTGAATGTGTTTTTGTAGGTTAGACGCCGCATTTCAATCACAACTACAACACAAAAAAGGTCTATGATGACAAACTCATTTTGTCTCCAAATAACATATATTCGTCACCAAAGTGATCTGCAACGAAATAATTTTGTCACCACGTTCGTCGCCTATATGTTGTTGCTGAAAGTAACTAGTGAGGAACAATCGTTTCGTCACCTATTTTTCATTTTTTGCGATGAAAATTTTCATCTCTAAATGTTGCATTTTTCGTCCTCTATAACATCAATTTCATCACTAGAATTATATAATATTTTATTTTAAATGTTTTGGCCACGAAATATTTCATCACCAAATATGAAGATAGAGGTCTCAGTGACGAAATTTATCCTCACCAATGATATAGATTAAGGTGACACAAAAATTCGTCACTAAAATGAGCACAAAACAAAATTCTTCAATGAAAAAATTTGTCGCCAAATATTTCAATTTAGCGACGAAATATTCAGCAAATGTGATGAAATTATTTGTTTGGAACTATATCATTAGTGACAAAATTATTCGTCATGTTGTTTGAAAACTAATAGCGATGATTTTTTATTTCGTCTTTAATAATAATTAAATTTTTTAAAAATAAGGGTAATATTTTCAATTTTTCTTTTCACTAAAAATTCCCTGCGCATTTTAATAACATGTTCAATAAAATATCTATTACAGATCAATACAAAAATTTGTTCATTTTCATAAACACCATAGTCAAAATGTCTCATAATATCCACAAAAATACAATATCAACTGCGGATTACCAAACACGTCTCCTAATATTAAAAAAAAAAAAAATGTCTCCTAATATCCACAAAAATATAATATCAAGTGCAGATTACCAAACATATCCCCTGATACCTAGAAAAATATAAAATTTACAACACAACCAAAATACATGTAAGGTAATATTAACAAAAACACAAAATGCGCAAGCTTCTGCTCTCCAAATTACCAAACATGTCCATATATGATCTCTAATCTACAACAAACAAAACAAAAAACAAAAAAAGAAAAAGGAAGACAATTATTATCTTATCAATCAAATATACAATTTAATATTTTTCAAGCCTAAGTGTTTGAAAAGTGCATTTTTTGACTTAGTTTTCAAATCGAGAGTCCCTTTCTAGTTCCGTAAATTTCTACAATTTATATTGGTCCATCCCGAGGTGTTCGGGGTGTTCCTCGGGCCTTCTCATGGTTGTTTTATAATTTTGGCCTCCAATGGCCTATTTTCAAGCCTAAGTGTTGGAAAAGTGTATTTTTCAAACCGGGAGTCCCATGCCGTAAGTTTTCACAACTTACATTGGTTCCTCCCAAGCTGTTCAGGGTGCTCTCCGAGCCTTCTTGTGGCTGCTACATGATTTTAGCCCCCGATGGCCTATTTTCAAGCCCAAGTGTTGGAAAAGTACATTTTTTGACTTAGTTTTCAAACCGGGAGTCACATGCTAGTTCTGTAAGTTTTCACAAGTTACAATGGTCCCTTTGAGGTGTTAGGGGTGTTCCCTAGGCCTTTTCGTGGTTGTTTCACAATTTTGACTCCCGATGGCCTATTTTCAAGTCTTAAGTGTTGGAAAAATGCATTTTTCAACTTAGTTTTCAAATTGGGAGTCTCGTGCTAGTTCTGTAAGTTTTCAAAACTTACATTGGTCCCTTCCGAGTTGTTTGGGGTGTTCCCTAGGCCTTCTCGAGGCTGTTTCACGATTTTAGCCCCCGATAGCCTATTTTCAATCCTAAGTATTGGAAAAGTGCATTTTTAGACTTAGTTTTCAAATCTGGAGTCTCGTGCTAGTTCTGTAAGTTTTCGCAACTTACATTGGTCCCTCTTGAGGTGTTCAGGGTGTTCCCCGAGCCTTCTCATGTCTGTTTCACAATTTTGGCTCCAAATACCCTATTTTCAAACCTAAGTGTTGGAAAAATGCATTTTTCAAGCCTTGAGTCTCGTGCTAGTTTCATAAGTTTTCACAACTTACATTGGTCACTCTTGAGGTGTTCGGGGTGTTCCCCATGCCTTATTGTGGCTGTTACACGATTTTGACCCCTGATAGCCTATTTTCAAACATAAGTGTTGGAAAAGTACATTTTTTGACTTAGTTCTCAAACCGGGAGTCCCGTGCTAGTTCCATAAGTTTCCACAACTTACATTGGTCCCTTCCGAGGTGTTAAGGGTGTTCCTGGGCCTTTTCATGATTTTTTCACGATTTTTGCCCCCGATGGCCTATTTTCAAGCCTAAGTATTGGAAAAGTGCATTTTTTGACTTAGTTTGAAAAAGTAATATTTTTTTACATAGTTTTCAAACCGAGAGTCCCATCCTATATCCACGCATATATTATTATGACTTATGAAGATGTATTAGATATTTAATTGGATATGCTTCTTTTTCTTTTTTACTTGATGTTGCATTTCCATTTAACATATATGGGTTTTCAATAATGCTACAATAAATAAAACAATATACATGGGTTTTCAGTAGGTTCACCCGCAACCTCTACCAACAACCTATACAACAAATATAACATATCACGATTTTCAGTAGGTTCACTCTCAGCCTCTTAAGACCATTATAGGTTTTTAGTAGGCTCACCCTTAACCTTATCCACGTGCGGGATTGTGTACATGCTTGTATATATATATATATCAATGTGTAGAAGATACCTGCTCATCAATTCCTGTCTAAGGCCTTTAAGAAGAGTCACCTTAAGATCAAACTCGATTACAAGATCCACAAAATCTGAAGCCAAAACATTCAAAGAAAAACACAACATAACTAATAAGCGTTCAAAGAAAAACATTCACCTAAACTTAATTATATTTAACATGAAGATTACACAAAAGTTAATAACATTAATTGCGCCTTTAAAATGCCCACAAATAAACCAGGTGTACTAATCTCCTAGTTCAGGGAGGAAGGGGGAAAGGTCCCATTAAATTAAGTCAATATAAAGGCATCAGTAATTTTATCTTTTATCAAATTTTGGGTCAAAATTAACACTACTCTGCGAAAATTGATTTTTAGAAAATAACATTAATTACGTCTTTAAAAAGAAAAATGCTTGGTAAAGATCTCAGTGGCAACACCTAATATAAAAGGTAAATACAACAACTACCAAAAAACCAAAAGAAGTTAAAACCATGATATTTTGTGGCAATGAAGTTTAGAGGCCAGCCCACAATTCTAATATTTTATATTCAAGGAACCCATTTGTTTATTTCCAGTAAGTCAACATGTCCATAATCCATCAAAAGATTCCAATTTGTTCACTTAGCATATCACATTTCAAGCAAGATTAGATCTCTAACTATAGGCAATCCAAATGGGGGTGGGGGGTGAAATGGAGTTGTGTTGATGTTAACAACAAAATGGCATGGTAAAGACTACAATATATTAGTGGCATTGTTGAAAACAATCTGCAGTATGGCTCTTGCACTTTTGTTAAAACCAGTAGAGTAGCAGAACATGACCAATTGCTTATAAAAGACAAAACACATAGTAGTAAATTATCAAACCAATTATGTCTTGAAAATGGTTAAAAAAATGTTCAAATTAAGCCATTGAATTAAAACGAATCCCTACACCCCTCAAGCAAGGCAGTTGCGAATACTGAACAACATAGATATTGTACTAAACCCTTGATCTTCAACCTGACAAGTTACTCAAAATTTCAGCCACTTATATTTAATAGCTAGCTTGACAAGAATATAGTAAATTTAACCCCAAACAAAATAATTATGAAGTGTAGTGACACATAGATAGTAACAAAGGAAGTAAGAAATGATACATACATAACAACAGTTCGCGTCCCATTTACACCTCCAATTACATTGACACGAGTTGAAACATGAACCTCTGAGTTGGTGCCTATTATTTCAATCCTCATAGGCTTTCCATCCAATTGAACATTGTTATACCGCTTAAGAGTTTGAAACACATCACTTGTTGGGGCAAATACTACTTCAGTTGAATCCTGTAAACAAGTAAGAAAAAGTCAGCACTTCTGCAACCCACACCAGCTGAACCCTTCAACCAATTAGTTTGATAAATTAAAATTTAGAAGGCTATTAGATACCATCATCGCATATATTGATTTTGGAGTTGTAAAAGGCACATCCCTGCTACATTACAAATTAGTGCTTTTGTTTTTTGTTTTTTTGTTTTGTCAATTGTTACCCAAATAAAATAAAATAAAATAAATCTACACTTTCAAAGGAACATTCAAGACAATCCCAATTCCCCCAACAAAAACAAAGAGAATAGAAAAATTAGCTAGAAAATATACAAATGCAACTCCAAATTTACCGCAATTTGAAGAAATTAAACCAAAAAAACAAGAAATTAAATTGAATAAATTATATAAACCCTAGATCAAAAGTGAGAAATGGGGAAATAGAGGAAGGTGTGAATTCATGTGTGAAAGGTGTAAACATGTTTCCTGAATTAGTTTTAAAGCTAAGTCAAATTGTTAAGAACGTTTTTATAGAGAGAGAGAGAGAGAGAGAGAGAGAGCATATGGGCAGTAGGACTTGGAGAAGATGACGATGGAGTGGGACGCTGCTGCCACTGCCCCTACTCGCCGTCGCTACTCGTAGTCGCTCTACGCCAACTCGCTGCTCTACGCCACTGAGTGAGTGAGAGAGAGGCGATTGAGACTGAGTGAGCACGTGAGAGAGAAGGAGAGAGACGCCGCTGAGCGACTGAGAGATGCTGCCGCTGCTGGACGCCACTGCACGCTGCCGCCTCTGCTACCCTACGCCCTTGTGTGAGAGAGAGAGAGAGAGAGAGATGAGCAACTATGAGCAAGAGAAGAAGGAGAAAAAAAAATGTGGGCAAATTTTGGAGGGAATTTTGGAAATAATTTGTTAGTTTTTTTTTTTTTTTTTTTTTTTTTTTGAATACATGGCAAACGGGTGGGTTTGAACGAGTCAAAATAGATTTTGTATTAAAAATTTGTTTTAGTTTTTGAAAATTATTTTTTGAGTTTTTAATTAGTATTTGTTTTTATTTTTAGTAAAATTTTTTAATATTTTAATCAATTAAAATATATTTTAATCAATTAAAAAATGATTAAAATATTAAAAAAGTTCACTAAAAATTAAAAAAAATAAGGATTGAAACTTGAAAAATAGTTTTCGAAACTGAAACCAAACGAAATTGATTCAAACTCACATATTTAATAAAGGGGTTGGGTTCGGTGGAGGTGGAGTGCTAGTGGTGGTGGTGGTGGTGGAGGAGTGGTGGTGGTAATGGAGTGGCGGCGGTGAAAGTGGAGTGACTGTAACGGTAGTGGTAAAGTAAGGCAGTGGTGATGGAAGAAAAATAGTAGCGGCGGCGGTGGTAATGGTAGTGGTGGGGCAGTGGTAGTGGTGGTGGTAGTGGAAGTAATGGAGAGGTAATGGTGGTAGTGGTGGTAATGCAGTGGTGGGAGCGGCGGTGGCGGAGTAGCGGTAGTGGTGGTAATGATATTGGTAAAGTAGTAGCGGTAGTGGTGGTGGTGGTAAATGGTAGCGGTGGTAAAGTGGTAGCGGTGGTAGTAGTAGTAGTGGTGGTGGAAGAGAGTTCATGGCGACAGTGGTAGAGTGGTGATGGTGGTGGAAGATAGGTGGTGATAGTAGTGATAGTAGTGGTGGAGTGACAACGGTAGTGAGTAATGGCGACAGTGGTTGTGGAGTAGTAGCAGTTATGGCGATGGAAGTGGAGGAGAGGTGGTGGTAGAGTGGTAGCAGCAGTAGTAGCGGTGGTAATGGATCCATGGCGGTAGAGATGGTGGTGGTGTTGGAGTGGTGGTAGAAAAATCCATTTAAACAAACACTCATATCTAACCCAAAGAGGGCTTTGCAAAATAGGAACTGATTTGGGCAAACAAAGAGAGCTTCTCACTTATAGCATGAAACGACGTCGTTTTGCATAATAAAACTATAGGAGACGAAATTATTTCCTCGTGGAAAATTTTGTACAATGGTGACAAAATTTTTGTCTATAAAACGGCGCCCAAATATTTCGCGAAATTTTCCAAGGGTGGGAATTTTTTTTGCGACGAAAAATAAAATATAGAGACGAATAAAATTTTCGTCACCTATTGTTTTATTGATTTTAAGCATTTGGTGACAAAATTTGATTTTTCTTTTTAAAAATATTACAATTGGAGACGAAATCTTACTTTTATCTCTAAAACATGTATATTTGGAGACTAAATTTTTTTTCATTATGTGTTTTCGTCACCGAAGACTTTTTTGGTTGTATTGCACATGATTCAGGGAGCCAATTGTAAGTAACAACCTTGTAAAGCTATGTTCAAGATATAAGTATTTTTTGAATTATAGAATGCTCTATTTCTGAAATGGTGCTTTTTAACTAAATGAATGATTGTCCTATTTATGAAATGTACTCATGGCATCCATAGCATCTGTTACTGTTACAGAGATCTCTCTCAATTCCAATCTTTGAAACTACTTTTTACTGTATTGATGGCCATCAATTATAACTGTTCGGTCTTATATTACCTACTGTATTGTTTTGCTATTGGATGTTCCACGTATGATTGCTATGATTTCAATATGATTTGATATGTTATGAGGTACTGATTCACTAATGGAATTGACTGTTTAAAATTACTGAAAGGACATCATTCATTACCCCTTTACACCGTTGTTATTCATTAGGCTCTAGCTCATTGTTTTATATATGTATGTAGATAATCAAGTGCAAGACCGGACTTAGTGGCATCGACCTGAACTCTTCTTTTTGTAAAGCTAGCTTTTATGCCTCACTTCAAGGTTCTGACCGGGTCAAGCTTTACATGGATGATTTAGAATTCACCTTTTTATATTTGTGAACAAGTGTTATGAATGTGTGTAAGATTGGTTTGTTATTGGGACTTAATCCGTAAGTTAAGTTTTTTTTTTTTTTTTTTTTTTTTTTGTAATTAAACTTGATGTGGACTTGTGTGTGTATGTATATATAAAGGGTTATTTTGTTCATTTAAATCTTCACAACTCATTGGATGTTATAATTTATTATTTAAGGCTTCTGCCAGTCCCTAGTATTGTATTGTTATTAAGCAAGTCTTTGGCAATCTCGGATTACTGGCCGGTCACCTCATCGATCCTTACATCGAATTGAAACTTCTTTCCTTTCTTTAATAGACCAAAGGTGGTTCACAGGTCATGGTTAATTGAGAAATAAACCTGCTTATGAATTGTACTTTTCCCAAAAAGCCCCGCACCTCATTTTCAATCATTGGTGGCGGCATTTCTAAGATGGCCTTAATTTTAGATGGATCAACTTCGATGCCTTGCTGCGTGATCAGAAATCCTAACATCTTGTCCATAGTTACCCCAAAGGTGCATTTTTGTGGATTCAGCCTTAGCCTGTATTTCTTGATTCTCTCAAAGAATTTCTTTAATGTGGTATAATGACCTTCCCGATCTTTGGACTTGACAATCATGTTATCCACATGCACCTCAACTTCCTTATGGATCATATCATGCAACAGTGTGGTAACGACTTCTGATAAGTGGCCTCTACATTTTTCAATTTGAATAGCATAACCCTGTAACAATGCGTCCCCTATGGTGTCATAAATGCAGTCTTTTCTTTGTCCTCTAGAGCTATAAGGATCTAGTTATACCCCTAAAAACCATCCATGAATGACAGTAAGGCATGCCCTGCAGTGAAATCTACCAATTCATCAATATGTGGCAATGGAAAGTCATCCTTCGGACTAGCCTTGTTCAAATGCCGGAAGTCAACACACACCCTGATTCTACCATCTTTCTTTGGGGCTGGCACAATGTTGGCCAGCCAGGTCGAATACTTGGATACAAGCAAGAACTTGACATTGATTTGTTTAGTAACCTTTTCTTTGATTTTCAATGCCCAATTCGGACGAATTTTGTGAATTTTCTATTTGACTGATTGAGCCTTGAGATTAAGAGGGATTCTATTTTGTACAATCTCATGATCAATTCCAGGAATATCTTCATAGGACCACGCAAAAACATCTTTGAATTTCTTTAAAAAACAACTAAATGCTTGTGTTCATCTGAAGATAAAGTGGAACCAATCTGGACTAAGCGAGGATCTATCTCAGTACCCACATTTATGGAAACAATTTTGTCAACCAATGTCTTAACATGCCTTTCTTCCTCCCAATTGATTAAAATTTTCAAAGCCCAAGGAATTTCTTCCTCTTCGTTTTCATCAAAATTTTAAAAATTATGGTCAATACTATAAACTATAGACACAGAGAAGTAAGCAGAAATCATAACATCTTCATTCAGAATCTCAAGCTCAAATGTTGCAACAGACTCAAAAGAAAAAGAAAAAGCAAAAGAAGACTCTAACATCTCAAACAAACTTGGATCTGACTCCAAACCAACAAGGTCAGCTAACTCAGACTCAATAACCACTTTAGAACTCCCAATAAAACGTTTTTCAACATGCTAATTTGCTTGCGTGCCATTCACTACATCCACGATGAAGCTTGAGCAATTGATAGGCGGTCCTTCCCCGATCACAGAAATAGTCATATCCCCAAAGTTTATTGGTTCAACACTAGTATCAGACTCTTTTAGCAAATCAGCCAGTGTCAGACCTAGGACGCCTTCTGTACTACTTTCAGAATTGATATCACTGTCTTGACCGATGTCGATGCTTGGAGATGCCTTTTTCGTTGCTATCAGAAAGCTGATGATCGAAGAAGGTTTCAAACCCGAGATATCTCTTCTTTTCCTCTTGGTTGATCCATGGCTCTGGAAACCCATAGAAAGGGAAATCCTCTCATTCTCGAACAAAGCGCCCTTTCAAGGTTCCACAAATTAGCTTATGGACCAACTCAAACTGTTGCCGAATTCTCTTTGTCTTGATCCTCTCCTTGATCTCTTCACTTTTCCTTTTCTAGTCATCTGTTGTAGATGAATACCCTACTCTGAATGCATGCGGGTTATGAGGTACTTCATCGGTTGTAGCAATACCCTTCTTGCCACTTTGTCCTAACCCCATCCCAGGAATGTGACCCAGTTTACTCATGAAGTAAATTGATTGGGCACTGATGTATACGTCTTCGTCTTCTGGAATGAGTATTTAAACTAGCTGGGCCTTTGCCAATGTAAAGCTTGAGAGAAATACACCCTCCTCCCCATGTTGTATTTCTAGTAACAACATTGTAACTTCTTGGAGAGGATAAATGGATGAATTTTCGAATATAGTGGCAATACCTTCGTCATATGGGTATTTTACCAATTGATGCATCGTGGATGATATGACTTTCATCTAATGGAGCTAGGCCCTTCCCAATAGCAAGTTGAATGTTGCGAGGACATTCATAACATGAAATTCAGCTTCATGCTCAAAAGGACCTACTATTATTTGCACTTTGATTGTCCCCATAACTTCCCGACTAGTATTATTATAAGCCCGAATTAACTGAATAGTGGGTTTGAAATCTGCCGGCTTTAGCCCGATCGCATAAGTAGTGCGCGAATGGCAAACATTGATAGTTGATCCAGTGTCAATCAAACCATTGAGATCTATTTCTTTTTACACTCCGGTGACACATATAGAGGCTTATTATGTCTTGATCCTTCCGGTGGTAGCTCTTTGTCGGAGAAGGCCATCAGGAGAGCAGTTTCTCTTCGGGTGATTAGTGACACCAGTTGTTCCAGAGTTGTGTTAATGGACAGCTTAGCCTTGTTTAATGTTGACAACATTACTTGTCGGTGTTCTCGGGAAACCATGAGAAGCCCCAGACGGAGATGTTTGTTTGGAGAAGAAAAGAAGGGTAACCAACACAAGGTTTGGCTTTGTAAGGTTTAACTACTTTGTGGCAGCCAAAGTAGCTGTTCAAACAACCAATGGCCTATGGGTGGATGATAAGGAAATAAAGGTAAATGCAAATTTTGGTAAAGAAAAGGCAAAGGAAAAAGCTACAAGAGTACCATTTCATACTCAAACAAAGAGTCAAGTTCAAGCTGTACAAGGGGGGAAGGCAGAAGAGGCACAAAAGGCTATACAAATCAGAGATCATATGCCGAGGCTACAATAGGGAACATGACTGGTGGTACATGTAGCATTATGTTAAAGGCAGAGGAAATAAGAAATGGGTGGTTGTATGAAAGCGTAATTGTACGTCTAAAGGCTGAGTATGCCAATATTAGCCCGAAGAAAGAACTTAAAATTATAGGTATGGAGGATATTATGGTGAGAGAAAGCAGAGGATGGGATGTGGTTTTAACATTCAACTCAAAGGAGGAGATGGAACTGAAAATGAAGCCTATCGAGGAATTGATCATGGACTGAAGTGAAGAAAATGCTATGGAAAAAACAGGGTGGGTGCTGGAGCAGGAAAGGAGAGTATGGATTAGCTACTATGGCTTTCCGTTAAACCTTTGGAATGGTACAAACTTAAAAAGGTTTGGGGGTTTGTGGGGGCAAGTTATATGCTTGGAGGGTGACACAAACCAACCAATGTCATTTGTGAGTGCCAAGGTTAAGATCTCCACCAAATGCATTGAACCAATTAACATGATAGTAAATCTAGAATGCAGAGGTTCGGTATGCCCAGTGAGAGTATATGAAGAACAGGCGGTAAGGGCTAAAACATTGAAAATTAGTTGCAAGTGTCACAAGCTTCTAGAGATGGACGAGAATTGCAGTTCAAATAACCTGGAGAAACAAGATATGGAAGGGAGCATTAGTGAGAAGGAAGATGATGATGACATGGGGAATGATTCAGTCTATGACATGGAGATTA